CCTTATTCAGGATTCTTATGAAAGGGTTGTAAGCAGGGAAGTAACATCTGTGTTTTTACAGGATGATTCTAGCTGAGATAGGACACTGATTTAGTTTTTTTGTGGTCGTGGAACTGGGGAAAATGAATAAGGTAAGAGATTTAACCCACTGCCATTGATAGTGACGCTGTAGGGCAGAGTAACCATGCCTTGCTGTTAGTTGTTAAGTGCCATTGAGTCAGCCCCAACTCACAGCAACCCTGGTATCAACAGAGGAAACACTGCCTGTTCTTGCACCATCTTCACAATTGTTGCCACTTTTGAGCCCATTGTCGTAGCTCCTGGGTCAAGCCATCTTGTCAAGGCCTTCCTGCCAAGAACAAATGCAAAAGAAAGCCCCACAGGATGGTGATTGAACCCACATGGCAGCGCCGCAGGAGAGACAGGCCTGAGACTCCTTTTGTAAAGATTCCAGCCAAAGAAAACCAGTGAAACGGTTCTCTGTAACACAAAGTGGCCACGAGTCAAAATCGGCTCTGACACAACAACAATGACCATGTCAGTGATTAACTTGATTATAAACACTGCCTGGAGATCTTATATCACTTTTTTTCTACTTCCCAACGATACTGCATCTCCCAACTGTGCTAAATGGATCCCGCCCGTGTGTAGGCAAACTCAAGACTTTCTTAAAGGTAGACTTGAACCTCAAGCTACAGCTTTCTTCTTTCTAAGTCATTCCAATAAAGAGACAGGGTTACATGCTTCCTTCATTCGTTGAGAACCCTTTCCAGTCCTATTACTCATAACGTCAAAGGACACATTATCCTTTTTTCTCATAGGACATAATGTTTCCAAGAAATTTATTCGTAGCATCATTGACAAATCAGGTACACAAATTGGTTTCCCAGCTACCTGAAACGGTCCCTGTAGCACCAAAATGTTTCATCTCCACCTTTCTGATCGAGTATCTTCTGTCTTAAGCAGGACAATAATAACTCTCATTTCTTGAGGAGTAGCCATTGCTGCTTGTGCTAACTCTGGTAGATCTTTGAAGTAAAGCTTATTACCTCCTGTCTCGATGAGGCACCAGCTGGGTGACTTAACACTGCACAGCCAGCAGGTGGCCGAGCTGACATTCAGTCCTTATTGTCTGTCTTGGTTCAATCTACTGAAATGACACCTAATACCTACCAACTATCTTGTTAGCCAACATTTTAAACTTGCAACAATACTAAAAATTCAACTATTGTACGTAAATGACACATCCAGGTGTGAGGCAAGATTAATACTGGCGGTGATTGACGTTATAGGTCCATTTGACTGGTTTGGTAGTAATATATGTTATCATAATTTGGCACTTATGTAATGATGTATATTAGTGTATAGGGGTTCCCCAAACCTCGAACGGGTCCTCAGGAATGACTTTGCAATTGTGGAAAATAAGATAGACAGCGGGGCACAGTGGCTCCTCGTCCTTATGTCAGGGCTAAGAGTGAATGTATTTCCCAGTGGGTATATGCTATGGAGCTTACTGATCTTTCATAAGGCTTGCACGTCATACAGCTAACATATTACATAGGCAATGGGTAATATCATAAGTGGGTAAAATAATTACCAAGCAATGAAATGACTCAGGTCTTGACCCTAGTGCTAGTTGGCTTCAAACGACATTTTACCAGTGGGTTGGCTATAGCACCTGATTGCTCTTATCCACAGATAACCTCCAGGCACCGTGAAGTAGCTTATATGGTAGCTCCGTGTACAGCATAGTCACCTTCCATTTTGTGATCTGATATGAACATCTTCCATTAGTGTATAATGCTGATTTTCACCTAACATCCAGTTTTTTGGAACCTACCCATGTCAGTGAAGAGTGGGTGTACACACCTTCTTCACAGTGTGTCAGTTTCTACATTCAATTTTACTGAGAGACATGTTCTGTCAGCCAATAGTCTATTGCTATGCCTTCCCTCTTTCACTGGGACTAGAAAATCAAATAGCTTAAAATGATTGTTTTTAAAATATGTGAAGGTATTAACAAAGGGCTACGCTTTTTACATTCCTCTTCCCTGCCCAACTTCTTTTGCATTTTGTAATGAGTTTGGAGATTTGTGGATCATGACTCCTGATAAGCAACCCCTTGCCATACTGCCAGCACGCTTTAAGATTTCAAAGGCAAACGTTTCTGAGCGTTTGACTAAGCTGCATTTCAAATGAACGTCTGTGACCTCAGAGTGTACAAGCGATGCCTAATTGTGTGTGGAGGATTGTTTCTGTCAGTGACCAGTTCTCCAGTATCTCATCCTGTTATATGCTGTGGCTG